GGAGGTCGACGGCAAGCTGGTGGTTGCTGTGCCTTCGACCAGCTGGCACCGCACCATCTCGAGACGTACGGTTCCGGGCGGCTTCCTCTCTCGAGTGGGGGCGGCCGAGGTATCCGCATGCCCGGTGGCTGCTCGCCTCGAGCCTGTGGATGGTGCCCGGGTACGAGTGTGGCTTGGGATCTTGGAGGGTCATGCCGAAGCTTCGGTGGCCGTGCCCGAGGAGCTGCCAGATGGAGTGATTGGGTTCGGCCGGCTCGACACCGGGGAGGATTGCATGCCTACGTCCCCAGCTTGGTCGCCGCTTCGGGCGATATGTTCGCTTTTGCTTCTGCAGAGAGCGCCAAAGCAGCCGAGCCCGACGACCTCTCTGCTCGGTTAGCCAGGCTCGAGAAAGCGGTCTCGAACCTTGTGGAGTTGAAAGGCCAAGCAGAGCCGCCGCCCGCCGGGAAACCCAAAGCAAGGGCAAAAGCTGCACGGAGTCGACCAGGCGGCGATGTGGCCGCGGCTCCGGGACTCGATGCGTCAGTCTTGTCAGCTGCTCGGGCTGCCGGTGTGTCCGAAGAGGCTCTCGCCGAGATGCAAGCTCTTGTTGGCCGAACGGCGACGGGGCGATTGAAGCCGGAGCCTGGACCTGACCCCCTCGAAGAGTCGGAGGAGGAAGTCGATGGGCCCGCCGGCGGCCCCGCCGGCTCTGGACAAGTGCAGGGTCCCGGGGCCTCACTGACCGAAGCCCTCGATCCTCAGTCGCAGCAAGCCGAGATCTTTGCCAGCGCCCTTGTGCGAGCAGTGGAGACTATGCAACGGGGCGGGTCCAAAGCCTCGACCTTAGACCGGGCTCTCGATGGAGCCGCAAGTGGCTCGGGCGAAGCTTCCTCGTTACCGACAGCTCGTCGAAACTCGGCGGCCAGGCGAGCTCTGCGGGATGCGTTGGTCAACTCCCCTTCGGAGATCAGTGCTGTGATCGAGGCTTTGATGTCAGAAGATCTTTCTTCCGTCTCGCCCGGCGTAGCCGTCCCGGGTCAGACATCGGCTCGAGCCTGGGCCGAGCGCAGATCGAAGGTGACCGCTTATCCTTCGTCGGTGTGGGCTGTTTGGCTGATGGCGGGGGCCCTGGATTGCCTACGGACCAGCTGCTTTTTACATCGCGTGCTTGCCTTAGAAGAGCAGGTGCGTGAACTGCAGAGTGCGCTTAGGGCGCTCAGCTTGAGGGTCGAGGGCCCGGAAACCGACTTCGATCTGGTGAGCGACCCCGCTCCTTCTTCATCTGCTGCAAGCCAACCCCATCCCTCTTCGGTTACCCTAGGGTTTAGTCCTGAACCTCGCCAGCCTCCCTCTTCCCCTTTAGGGTTTAGTCCCTCTGCCTCGCCCGCCGTTGCTAGAGCTCCTGAGTCCGGAGCCGTTCCGCTAAGCCCTCGCTCTCGAGGAGCCGCGTGCAGGGAGATAGGATTGTTTTTGCGTCGTGCCGCCGACGGCCAGCATCGGGGGCCTTCAGGCCGTGAGCGGCTGCCAGGTGGTTCTAGGCTTTGGGTTGTGGTGAGGGATTTTTCGGGTAACACCTTTAGTCCTGTCAGGGTCTATCACCGATTCGCTGATTGCAAGGGCCTTGTGAAACGAGGCACAGACCTCGGAAACTCTGTGTGCATCGGCCTCCCATCGCGAGGCGACGTGATAGCTGTCTGTGCCGCGGGAGGCTTTGACCTGCCCGGCTCTTGGTGAGATGGCTGAGGACGAAGAGGCAACGCCCTTGACTGCAAGGGACGCTCTGGCTTGCGGGGAAGGTTTTGAAGATAAGGAATGTCCGGTTGCAACTTTGAAGTGCGGCACCGCCGAGGATGGCAGCGAGGTTTTCATCTCTGTGATTGTGGTCAG